CGAGCCTTGATCTTCTTGGGCTTTGGAGTATCGGAGGATGAGACCATCTTCCTCTTCTTATCCTTAGCTGGCTTCGGAGCCTTCTCCTTCTCCCCAGACGGGGGCCTCATGATAGCGTTGTCTCCGAGATCTGTATGAAAAGAAATCAAGTAGAAATAAAAAAGAGACATTTCGGAAGAGAGCGTTAAACACATGAAAGGAAACTTACCATGATTTTTGGCATCCATTGGCCCCTTGCTAAATCACTCCACGAGCGCTCGACATACAAAGAAGTCGATGCCAATTTTTGAACCCAGCCCTCAAGGTTCGGAATTGCACCAGGCACCCAAGGACTGCTGCATCATAGGAAGGAATATCGATGAGAAAAAGCAAAAGGAACGAAACAGTAAATGGGGGCCAAGGGCGGAGTTTGTACTTACACTTCATGTTCCACTCTTCGGGGAATGGCATCTTCTCGGCCAGAATTATGTCGGAAGTCCTCAATCGGACAAACCGACCCATCCATCCTCGGTCCTTATCCTCATCTATGCTCGAGAACAGCACCTTGGTGACCCGACACTGAAGCCTTATTAATTTGCCTCTATAGGGACGGGGGTTGTATAGTCTAATGAGATGGTCGAGGGTAAAAGACATCTCCTCTACTTTGCTCACGAAGAATCAAAGCAAAATGACATTGCGCCAGAAAGAAGGATGGATCTTGCCTAGGGTTATTTGGTATTGGCGACAGAAATCAACGATAACGGGGTCGACGGGACCCGGTGTAAAAGGGTAAGTATAAATACTTAAGAACCCTTTCACGTAAGTGGTGATGTCCTCTTCGGGGGTCTGAATCACCACCTCTTTGCCTTCCCAATGGCAATCTTTCTTCACCTTCTTAAGGTCGCCCTCAGTTATCGAGCATATATATCTCGACACTGGCTCACATCGGCCAAGGACCAACGAGGGTTTCTCAACCTTGAAATCGGAAGAAAGATCACACACCCTGTGAATACACTCCTCGATGCGTGGCTCCACCGGTGTCTTGTCGTCGGCCGGCCGGGATGAAGAAGCTTTCTCCTTTTGAGGAACAGTTTTTGATATTTTTTCCATTTTTATATGGATTCAGGGAAAGAAAAAGATGAGATTTGTAGTTTTGAAAAAAGGATGGTAACGAGGCCTAGAAATTGTGCAAGGACGGAGAGGCTTGATAAGATGTGAAGAACTTTGAAGATTTGCAGAAAGACTTGAAAAACTTAGAAGGATTTTGAAGATTAGTGCAAGAAAAATTCAAAGTAAAGCTTAAAGAAGTGAGAAGAAGACCTATTTAAGGATTCACGGTGACGGTTCAAAGGTACTAGTGGACGACCGCCAACTGACACTCATTAATGATCTTGGAAACCGTACCTACGCGACGCTTTGGTCGTTTCTGTCGCTTACGTCACAAGGGTGACGTCATAACTGGTCGAGGTATAAAATCGAAGGCTCAGTTCGTTTCTTTTCATTACACTCCAAGAAACGAGGGGACTATCTATATACGGTTAAAATAGGGCTTGCCCTATTTTGCCATTTAATCAAGACCAGGGAATCACGTCGAGGGTCAGTCTCGTAACGGATCAGGTCAGAACACGAAGATAAAGTATCAAGCTCGAGAATCGAGGTACTCGTCGTGATCGAGGCCAACAACGATCGGGACCATTTATGACAGACTTCGAGCGAAGCACAATAACGGAAAGGTGAGATATCCGTAACCGGTCGAAGATCATGGCGAAAATCCTGGAACGAATCAAATCAAGGGCGATTGTTTAGGCTAATCATGGGATTTACTTCTGTAAATTAGAATTATACCATAATTAGGACTCCTCTACTATATAAAGAGGAGTCCCCATCATTTGTAGACACCTTACATTGACTCAGATTAAAGCAATACAATATTCTCGCTTTAATTCACATTCTCTTGTTTATCAGCTTGCTGCATTTTTAACTGTTCTTGCATAACTAGCTCGAGGGTATTCATGCTCGAGGGCTCTATCCAAACGCCGGTTTGCTTTATATTATTATCAATTTCCATCACTTATCTTTACGTTTATTAATTGGTATTAAGTGAAATCACATATCCTTATAACCACATTGTACGTTTAATTGTTATCCAGTTTTTAGGGTAAACAATATTCTTCTCTTCCTCTTGAAGGTAGATATCTCCCCCAAGTGCAATCAAGCATGGGGCGCATGGCATAGTCAGCTATATTCTGGAGAAAGGGGAAATCCAATTTTGTACTTGCTTAAGGATTAAATCGTTCAAATTTCAAGTCCCATTTTGGTTTATGTTTAAAAGAAAATTAGTTTTGGTGCACCAAAATCAAAATATATATGAGAGAAATCGATATATAGTATTCAAAACAAAAATAAGTACACGGTTGAAGACAAGGTTGGGCAGCTTATTATAAAGCATCATTCCTACTCTCGTACCCCCATAAGTTATTGCTTTATCAGTACAAAAGACTTCATACCATATAAGGGGATTAAAACTTTTCTTGGAACCTGATTGAAAGATCTGATATCAACAGAAACTGGGAAGCGAGTGCATTTTTTGTTCTTTCCTTTTCACTTAATTATAAGACCAACGATAGTGTGAGTCAGGATCACAAAGAAGTGAAGCTTTCTTCTATTTGGTAGTGGAAGCAGAAAAAAGAAGACATGGAATACGATCTCAAGAATTGTGTAGAGCCTAGTAGGAAGTAATTAAATCCTCCTTTAATCCGCCTTACGTTACACAAATATGGATTAGACGAACCCCAATGCAGATACTTAATATGGAACCAAAAGAGATAAGGTGTAACTATAGAGTTTAAGTTATGTATACTTACAAATAAAAAAGAAAAAGTTATTCTATCACTGTAATTTAGCTAGAAATAATATGTCATTATCTTATTATTTATGTTATCATATCAAGAATTGCTACGAAGAAATATATGTTATTGTTAGTCAACTTAACTTTATCGAGTAAAAATTCACCACACTGTTAGTACACAGATGATCTCGTAGTTATATTAGAAACCTTCATTAATTAATGGTATACCCGAACCTAGTAGTTTTGATTCAAATTATGTATTTGCCTTAAAAATTTTCATTAAATATGTACAAATTTTTAATTTAGAACCCAATAACTTAAAATGATTAGAATTTCGAATCCATAAGCTTGAAATCCTGGCTTCGCCTCTGACGGTATATACCACTTGAAATTAGTCCATGAATCATAATAAGAAGAGAGATGGACGAGTAATCGAGTATATAAAATATGAAATGTGAAAGACAAAGAGTGGTGTTTTTACTTTTATTCTTTCATTATGCTTTAATTTCTTTCAATATGCTAAACATTATCAGCTTAGCTTCAACTTTTAAAATATACAGCGATTATTGTAATAATTAGTTCTCGATGGAGCACATGATCTTCAAAAAAAGTTACCAGAAATGGCAAGAGAAAATATTAATTCTTACTTTTGCTTCCTAGGGGAATAAAAAGTGTACAATTTGGGTAAAGTTGCATATTAGTTGGGGTAAAGTTGCCTATTATTTTGGCAGTTAAGATTTTATAATAAGTGTTTAGTGTGATAGCAACGCCATAAAAATCTTCACTCTTTTAAGATAGGGTTGTTCTCACTATAACAAGGAATAGTATGTAGCAAACACGAGTTTCTAGCAGTTGCATATTTTCAAGAAAGAAAGAAAGAAAAGACAAAATTATTTTTCTTCTAAAACAAACTAAACATTCTGGTAGAGGTTCAATCATCAATGGCTATGATATTTAAAGATATTCAAAAGCGTGATGTTATATCTTCAAATTTCTCCAAGCTACTTTGGTTATGAGTTGGGAGGTTTACTAATGAATTGAAGTAGTTGAATGATGAGGGAGTTTTGACCAACTTGGAGAGAGAAGAACATCATAACCGGATGAGAAAATATGGGTCCAACCGTCCAAGTAAAAAGATGACAAGATAAGGTGACAAGGAATACGAAGTTATTCTTACTCTTCACTAAAAGAAAATATACATCTATGAATTTGTGGATAGCACTTGATTTAAATTGCATTAGGTCTTGTTGTATAAGATTTGTTTTTCGCTGGCCTGAACCTTTTCTTTTTCTTATAAAATAAGTTGTGTCTATAGTTAATTCCAGGTGTTTCTTGTGAACGCAGATGACACAACATGCAACCCTTCAAATTACCTTTCAGGTAAATGTGGAAGAACCACAAGAGTTGGCGTACTTGTTGGAGGTAATTCTCAGCTCGTTTTAAGTTATATACACTAAGCAGTATAGAGTCTTGGAATTTATAAATCCTTTCCCTTTCCTTTTATTTTAGTTCCGACGATACAACTCACTTTAGATTGAAAACCAATTTTTTCTAGGTATTGCAGCAGGTGCTTCATTAATGGTTAGTGTTGGCCTAATATGCTGCTTTATTTGACGAAGATTGAATTTCCAAAACAAAAACAGAAGAAACCGCGAGTTATATGAAACTACAGGGATAACTATCCCGGTTTATCCATACAAAGAAATGGAAAAAGCAACCTATTTCTTCTCAGAGAAACGAAGACTACGAAATGGGGCTTATGGCACAGTTTATTCAAGAAAACTTCAAAGTGACAAATGTGTAGCTATTGTAAATGCCTAATTTTTGCCCTTTCTTTTTCTTCTTTTATGTTTATAATGTGTATGTGTAGGTTTTAGGAGTTGATTATAGTTTAATTAAGAAGGGAATAAGACTTTGGGCTAAGTTGCATTTTTACTCAGAATGGGCCAAAAATCAAACCAAATCAGTGGCCCAATGGTACTGACCCAGTCCGGATGAGGCTGGCCCTGGGGGTAAGCTAAACGGCGCAGTTTCAGGGTGAAACTATGTCGTTTCATTTAATGAATTTGAGAACAAATCTCATCCGTTCAATCCCACTCGATCCAAAGGCCACCATTCAATCTCCCTTCTAGTATTTAAAATCCTAATTACCCCATCTTTGCCCCCATTTTGCCCTAGTTTCTTCTCTTCTCCTTCTCTCTTCTCTCTCTCTCGTCCCTCAGACCTCTCCGCCACCCCCACAGTGGCTTAACCGGTCGAAAATCGCCACCACCGGCCGACCACCTCCAAACCCCATAGACCTTACACCAATCTTCTCTTCTCTTCATCCTCTACCCATATCCAAACCCCAAATCCCTGAAATCACCCTCAATCTTACCAAATCTACCCCTAAATCAAAAAACTCTAGCCGCCGCCACCTCAAATTTCGGCGAGATATAACTTTCACACCCCGTAATACATACATAAACTAATATATCTCGTCAAGATCTATCCTCTCCTACCCATTTTACCCGAAAAATCCAACTTCCGTCGCTGCTAACCTCTGTACTGCCTCCCTTGAACCACCCCAGACCTCCGGGCATTCTTCCTTGCTGCATTCATACTGGCCTCAAGTGAGGTTTTGTTGTCGATTTCAGTGAAACTAGTCTCCAATTCTCCAGAGTCATGGTTTCAATGAAAATCAACAATAGAAGCTTGCTCGAGCCGTACCATTGTCCCGTTGCCTAATCGTCCCTACGCCACCACTATTCGGATACTCAAATTGGGTAAACTCGAACCCTAATCGTTTCCTCCATGTTTCTGATTTTCTGTCTCGTACTGTTTGATTGTAGTTTTTGTTATAGTGTAAAATTCGTTATTTCGCTTATGTTCGTAGTCATTTAGTGTAATCACTTGATTATTAGTTTGATTAGTAGTTGTTTATCTATTGGTTATTAGGGCTATTTAGCTTATTAATGTATTGAGTTTCTGTTTATTTAAGTGTATTATTTAGTCATAATTGTTTTAATGAAATAATTAGTTAGTATGTGATATATTAAGCTGATGGTTTCAATTAGTTAGTTTGGATAATACACTTGTTTTGTTTGATTTTTAGCTATTAGGTTTCGAGTTTTCCTTAGTTGATTTATAGTTCAATTTCGTCTAGTTATGTGTTTTTCTATTTTAGTTTTGTTTGAATGACATTGTTGGTGCTGATGTTGTTAAAATCTGAATGATAGATGAGTTTAATCATAAAATAGGCTACTTTAGTAGCCTACTTTTACTAGTAGGGTGGCTGAAAGGACCCCTTTCCTCCTTGCTTCTGCCATAACAGGTTTCATGCAGTCCTTTCACCTTTTGCCTACTCAAGGGCTGGCTCTTTCCTCACTTTACACACACTATGACCCTTAGACATCTTTTACCCTAAGTATAAAATACACAACTTTAAGAATAAAAGATAGCAGCTGAACATATCTAATAGTAAGCTGAAAATTCCGAGCTTAGTGAGTGTTTCTTAGAGTGAAAAACTTGTGAAAAAAAGAGGGGTCTTGTAAGCATTTTCTGGAGTTACTAGTTGCTAGTTTCAAACTGCTTTGCTGTGTATTTTTGGTTCATTTTCTTGGGTTCAAAAATCTGCTGGTTGTTGGCTGTCTTTTGCTTAGTTGCTGCTCATTTAATTGTTCTGCTGTCCAATTATTGATCTGGAAAGAGTTGACTTTGCTGAATTTTTTCTTCTTTCTGCTGTCCAGGTAACTTTCAGACCATGTAAACTCCTAAAATCAAGTGTGGAATGAAAGATATTGATGCAGGGAAACATTAGTAGTTTCATTCGTTTATTGTAATTCATTTTTACATGCTCTTGAATGTTGTAACATTATGACTATACGTTAGTAACTAAACTGTGACAAGCATCTTTAATCTTGTATCAATATTTTGGATATAATTTCATTTGGCCATCATTTGCCTGGTTGTGTGAAAGGAGCATGTATTAAACTTTGAGCTCATGCAAGTAATGTCTAGCCTTGAGTTATTTTTTTATATTTAGTTTTATGTTTGTCCCTTTGTTTTTGCAAAGTTAAACTCTTTTATTGATTAAAGTCCAAATAACCTTTACTTACTTCCTCAAAAGGGTTACTTTAGCAAGGTGGTTAAGCTGTAAATAGAAAGTGATTGTCTCTGCAAACTTACTTTATAAATAATTGGCTATGGATTGCAAATGACAAGATAGGGCCAGGTCTGTAATGTGGCTATAAAAGGCCACGTCTGCAGAATTGAAGTCCAAGAGCACATGGGTCTCTTGGATTTTGTCTTGGATATGGGCCCGTTGGTTTTATCAGCCCAATAGTGGGCTGCCTCATTTTAATTCCACCACAAGCCCAACATTTATTAGTTTTAAATAATGTAAGTTAGTCAAATAATCTTCCTACACTAGTGTCATCTTTTAAACTAGTAATTGTAATAACTGTAAAGCCATTTCAATTAGCCATATACTACTCATTTTGAATATGTAAATATTTTTCTTAAGTTGGAAAATGAACAATCAATCTACAAAAAATAAAAAATGCTTTTCTTCTTTGACTAATTCCATAACATAGTCTCTAAAGTTAGTCAATTCGTTTTTTAGGAGAACAATAGTAATAGTCTAGTAAAGTTTCAAAAAAAAGCGACAGATTTTTCCTTAAATATGGATGTCACTTTTTTAGTCCACTAAATAAATTCAATAAAATTAGATGCTTTATTTATTTATTTATAAAAATGACTCAATCACCTATTGATCATGATTAACTCAAAAGGTTTTTAACAAAGATAAATAATTTCGTCTCAACCGATATCGGGAAGACTCGCTTCGGAATAAAGATATAGATAAAATGGCAAGGTAGTGATGACACGTCTTGTTTCAATTCTTTTAAATAAATAAAAGTTGTTATTTAATTAACTTCGAGTAGGCTCCAATTTTAGGTGCGACGCATGAACTATGGTCGAGAATACTCGTCTTGGTTAGTGTAAGCTAGAGCCGGGGATACTCGTCCTAGTTTGAGATTAATAAAGTCATCAACAATAAAAGCGGACATAGGCAAAACATAAAAATCAAATAAAGCACAGTTTATCCAAAATTAATTCAAGCCAAGTTTAAGTCAATAAAGCGACCGTGCTAGAACCACAGGATTCGGGGAGTGCCTCACACCATCTTCCCAGTCAACCGAATTTCTTACCCAATCTCCTATTTTCGCTAACCAATAAAAATAGAGTCAAACCTTCCTTTGACTAGGAATTCAAATAAAAGGTGACTTGGAACACCCAAAAATCAATTTCAAGCGGTGACTCTGTAAATAAAATAATCTCTACTCAAATTTATCACTTTAATTGGAAATACTCTCTAACCCAAAACTCCTCTACGCATCACCGGGACCAATACTAAAATCTGGACACGAAGTACAGAAGTATAGCATGAGTACAACCAACCCCATGTACTCTGTAAGTGCCGAGCCTAACCTCGACGAAGTGGTGGCGAGGCTATGGAAAAACACTCACGATAAACCCGTACGAATAATAATAACATAATACAAAAATAGAAATAAATTAGTAAGCTCATATAAACGGACCCGAAGGTCAACTACCAGAGGGCCCCAGAATAACATGATCTCAACCCTCGTATCACAATACCGAGAATAAATTCTACGACCACAAACAACTATAACACATCAACTCTATTGTGGCGCGTAACCCGATCCCAACACAATATTTAATACAATAACTGTTGCGACGTGCAACCCGATCTCATTATCATTTTATTTTAATATCGTTGCGGCACGTAACCCGTTCCCAATATCAATCATTAACATAAAAACTTAACACAACTAGTACGAAATCTCAATACAAAAGGGAAATGAGACAAGTGGAACATTAAAGAATTATCAATACAAACGAAGAATAGCTAACACCTCATAATTCCAAACCTTAACAATACATTAATACCAGGATAAATGAATGGCTCACATAATGGAACAACATTATAAAGTACATTAACTAATATAAGGACAAAAAAAGAAAATAAAATGTGAGACAACAAAAATATACAATTAATGCAAGTAGGAACATGTAGCAGGTACGCAGATATTGAGTGAGAAATGAATAGATAGAAACAAGTAGCAATTACACAGCAGATAACAAGTAAAGCATGAATAACTATTAAGAACATATAGCAATTAAAATATGTAACAAGATATAACATGGAATAAAAGAAGATATGGAAGTACATAACCTAATTTCCCACACTTTAATCCCATGGCGGTGAATATACACTCGTCACCTTGCATATACTCCGTTTTCCCATATAATTCACATAACATACAACCAACAAATCCTAATTCCCTCAAGTCAAAGTTAGACACGATACTTACCTCACTCCACAACCAAATCAATCAACCAACCACGACCTTGCCTTCCGAACAAGCCTCAAAACCAACCGAATCTAGTCAATTACCGTTCAAACAATTCAAAATAAGCTTTAAAAACTACCAATTAATAAAAAAGGTTCAATCTTTGATGAAATTGAAAAACTAAACAAAAGTCAACCCGGGCTCGCTTGGTCTAAATCCGAAATCCGTATCAAAATTCGATTACCCATTCACCCCCGTACCCGGTTATGTGATTTATTTTAAAATTCGACCTTAATTTGAGGTCTAAATTTCAACTTTGTAAAATCCCTAAAATCTACCCAAATCCCTAATTTCTACCATGAAAATCCTAGATTTGATATTAAAAACTCCTGAAAGGTAATGAGGAATTGAAATAAAGTGGATTAGAGTTGCTTACAAATGAATTTAAGAAGAAACAATTATTCAAAAATTGCCGCTAGAGTGTTTAGAGTTGAGAAATGGTGTAAAATGAGCTAAGTCCCGTTTTTCTCCTTTTACCCTGCTGCAAGTGTCGTATTTGCAAACTCTTATTCGCAAATGCAATGCTCGCAAATACGGCACAAGGATCGCAAATTCTATATAACCTTCGCATTTGCGAAGGCCACCCCCGTCGCATATGTGCGCCAAGATTTGGAAATGCGAAGCTCCCAAACATTACACTGCATCGGATATGCAATGCCAGAGTCGCAAAAGCGAACACAGCAATCCTCGCAAAAGAGACTGTTACTTTGCAATTGCAAAGACACAGCCCCCAACCCATGCTTGCAAATGCAATCACTTGACTGCAAAAGCAAGGCTTGCAAATGCGAGCCAGACCTCACATTTGCGAGATCTGCAACAGACAACGGTAACAGGTAATGCACCAGCAATCTTCAAACTATCCAAACTCATCTGTAATACATCTAAAACTCACTCGAGCCCCTCGGGCTCCAAATCAAACATGCACACAAGTGTAATATCATCATATAAACTTGCTCTCTATCGCAAATCATTAAAATAACATCAAATAATATGTATAGATCACTAAGACTCATGATTTTCAACTTGAAAACTCATTTAAACATATTTTCATGTAACGCGCCGAAATGCGCTCGGGTCACCCGTCCCGCAACCAAAAGTGCATACAAGTCCAAGAATATCATACGAATCTTCCGGAATCGTCAAAATACTGATTCGTGACTGTTTACAAAGAATGTTGACCATGGTCAAGTCAAGTGTCATTTTAAGCAAAAATAACTTTTTCTTCAAATTTGTACGTAAAAGCTTTCTGAAAAAAACATGGACTATGCACTCAAATCAAGAAACATCAAATGAAGCTAATAGAGGTCTCGAAATGTAGAAATTAATGCTAGCACTCAAAATGACCTATCGGGTCATCATACAACCACGACTTTTTCTTTAGAACAAGCTTCCAAACCAAGCAAATCTAGCCAAATATCATTCAAACAATTCAAAATAAGTTTTAAAAACTACCCACGAATGGAAAAAGGTTCATTCTTTGATGAAATTGAAAAAGTCGACAAAAGTCAACCCCGGACCCTCTTGGTCAAAATCTCAGATTCAGACCAAAATCCGATTACCCATTCACTCCCGAACCCGATTATGTGATTTGTTTCGAACTCTTACCTCAATTTGAGGTCTAAATCTCAATTTTATAAAATTCCTAAATTCTACTAAAATCCCTAATTTCTTTCACGAAATTCCTAGATTTGATGTTAAAAACTCATGAGAAGTAATGTGAATTGATTAAAAAATAATTAAAGTTGTTAACTAATAATTTTGGGAAGAGAAGCTCTCAGGAAAATCGCCTCTAGAGTGTTTAGGGTTGAAAAATAGAGTGAAATGAACTAAATCCCGACTTTTCCATCTTTTACTTAGATGCAGGTATCACATTTGAGAATACTTGTGTTTGCAAATGCGAAGTCCGCATATGCGACACACCGATCACAAATGCGATCAGTACATCAGGCTCAGTAAAGTCGTAAATGCGATCTTTTGTTCGCAAATGCAAACTGCCCCCATCGCAAATGTAAAGCTCACTCCCAGGACACAGTGTCGCAAATGTGACTCTGAGTTGGCAAATGCGAACTACTCTTTGCAAAAGAAAAGTTCCCGCCCTTTTCGAAAATGCGATCATGTGACCGCAAATGCGAGCCAAACCTCGAAATTGCGAGATCTGCAACAGACACCAGCAACTGGAATGCACCAACAGTTGCATAATCATCAAAACTCATCGGAAACTCATCCGAGCCTCACGGGCTCCAAACCAAACATGCACACAATTGTAATAACATCCTACAAACTTTCTCGCTACCTTAAATAATTAAAATAACATCAAATAACAAGAATCGATCATCAAAATATAAAATTTGCAACTTGAAACTCATTTTCATAATTTTTCATATAACGCGCCAAAATGTGCTCGGGTCACCCTAGACCCCAACCAAATGTGCATAGAAGTACAAAAACATCATAAAAATCTACCGGAATTGTTAAAACACCAATATGAGGCCGTTTACCAAGAATGTTGACCGTGATCAAATCAAGTCCCATTTTAGTCCAAAAATCATATTTTCTTCAAAATTTTACATAAAAGCTTTCCGAAAAATGACACGGACC